AGTTCGTGAGAAAATCGCATCATTTTTGTTAGTTATTCAAAAATCCAACATTTTAGCAATTTGAGTGGAAAGAATTGCAAAGTCAATCTTTGCTTCGGTGAGACATGGTTGAATTTTATTCTAAGGAGGGGAGCTTGCGAGGTTGATAATAACAGATATTGGTGCCCTTTGGATATGTGGTAGGGACCCATGAGTGTACTAAAACCCTGAAGTAGTTTGACTCCATGGCCACATTTGCGCCCGCCACACCCACTCAAAAATGCCCAAAAACACCCCAGTTTTCACTCACTCAAATCCACGCCAAAAATCCAATTTTACTCGGATTTTGAAATTTCTTTCACCATTATACTCCCAGTTAGTGTCTTTCTTCAATCCAATATCAAACTCAATGTTATTGATAATTATTTCGCAAACATAATTTGTTTTGTTGATGACTACAACAATGCTCATTCAGAATTTTAAATTTTAAAAATACTAAAAATTTCGAAAAAATTGAGTTTGATATTGGATTGAAGAAAGCAACTATCTGGGAGTATAATGGTGAAAGAAATTTCAAAATCCGAGTAAAATTGGATTTTTGGCGTGGATTTGAGTGAGTGAAAACTGGGGTGTTTTTGGGCATTTTTGAGTGGGTGTGGCGGGCGCAAATGTGGCCATGGAGTCAAACTACTTCAGGGTTTTAGTACACTCATGGGTCCCTACCACATATCCAAAGGGCACCAATATCTGTTATTATCAACCTCGCAAGCTCCCCTCCTAAGAGCTTGCACTGCTCCGTGTTGTTACATCAGTTGTGGCTTAACTCGCTCTGTTTTGCGTCTTCATTCTCTCACAAAAGCACAAAACAAAGTTCATGGTCCATTATCCACGACAAGCTTTTTGGTCTTTCTGGCTTAGAATAGACTGGGATTTGCTTATTTTTCCCCGCATCTCATTTTCTTTGGTTTTTGGTTTCACATCCGTCAGTGAACTATTGTGAGCTCACTTTGCTAAACAAAGCCAACAGTCAAAGAGCAAACCTCAAAAATTTGAAGTGTGATTTGAGTAGAAAATAGAATCAACTCACGTCAACATGCCACGCATATCAAAAAGGAGGATTGAAACCCCAACAAAAATCTCACAATACGCCAGATAGTGTTCTCCTCAGAATAAACTGTTATTATTATGATGAGACCAATATGCACTTAATTCACAGCTCTTTTTATACAGAGCATGGCAGAATGAGCAATGTGTCGTCATAAAATAAAATCCCTCCGAGTTTGGCCACCTCGCAACCAAATGCATTTAGGTTTATTATTCAGTATTAGTTCTCCTTCTCAGAGGGTGAAATAAGTGCCTAATAATTGAATATTACGATGTCAAGTCAAGACTTTCTAGAGCTGCTAATTGGTCCAAAAATATAGCATTTCATTAAAATCATAACTTTTTGAATTTACTCCCGTTTGAAATATGTGTAGTCCAACATATGCTAAATTTCTTCGCCCTTCAATTCGTTGGATTCAATCGGATTACCACCAACTTGCGGTTTTTTATACACAAATTGAACCAAATCATTGTGACGACTTTGTCTGTCGGAAGTTAATTTTCAAACTGCAATATGCTTTATCCTATTATAAATATTAGCACTGCTCATTCTTTCTTTTTGTTATGCAACATTCTTGCTCAAAGTACATCAACCATCATCCGTTTCTTGTGCTCTTTAATATACATACAAACCAGAACCAATGACACATTTTGCATGGTTTGAAAACATTATCGTATCAAATGTAAAATGTTATTTACAAGAAAATATCTTTCCAGACGTAAATTGCCCGTGAAATTCGTGAATTTCAATTCAAACGATTTGTCCCGGCTTGTGGTGTTTAAATAGGTATGCACATACATACATATCACATCACAAAGTACTCGAATTGCACACAGGAAATGCATCGTTTAAAATTTTGCATAACACATTTGTTGCAAAATTTGTAAGAACCATGTTGTAAATTGACGAATGTTTTTTAGTAATTAGGTTGAAAAGTCGCGTTATTATTGTCATTCAACAAATTCGACATACGGTTTTGAAGCCATTCTGATTTTAATGCATAATTCAACTATTCAACCCTTTCTTCCTTCCTCCCAAACCACGCACCAATAAATACTAATGCATTGTGTCTGTGTAAACTGCACTCGTGTCCCTCCCTGTGTATACTGAATTAAAATCCCATTTTTCAATGCCCAGCTTTGATTATTTCATTGTGCTCTGCTCAACCGAACGCAATCAAATTTTGAAATGAGCAGCGGCCAGGAACGAACCGATCAAAACGCATCGTCCCAACGTTGCGCGTATTTACAATGACACAGTATTTCCCTTTATGGTATAATTTATATATCATCTTATATAGCACAGCCCAGTTTAGTGACCGTGCTTGATTTTCAGTCGATGACGTGTGAACCGTGTCATTTTAGAGTACGATCAGAAACTGCACTTTACATGCATATTGTAATGAATCTAACCAAACACCGAGTTAAAATAACAAGGGTTCGAAACCAATGAAATCTCACTCCCCCCGGATGCAACTCGTTGATCTGGCTAACCAAGGGCCAAATTGAGCTGAAACCAATTCACAGTCCCAAAAGATTCAAGTCCCTTTGCCGACTGCGACTCAATTTGAGACTTGACTGCTGCCTCCATTTTTTATTTTTGAGAGGCATTGGTCCGTGACTAGACTGACAGATGGATTTTCATAATTGCGTAATTGTGGTTTAATAGAGGGAAGGGGTGAGCAAGGGCAGGAGCGGAGAAATAATCGATGCAATGATATATGTACATACATGCGTAATATATATCGTGTGCTAATACCGCATAGCTCCCTCCTTGATCAAATTACAAAATATATGTACGTATGTATGTATAAACTGTGAATCAGCTTGTTATTTATTACTCGGACAAAATACGGAGAGCGGTAGGAAGGCCTTCAGACGGATAAATAGGTGTATAGTATGACGTGACATTACAAAAAGTTGTGAACCTTTCCAGGAGTCGCGGAAGTCAAGCTGAACCATGAAACTCGGGGAACCAGATCTGCCAAAAAGTAATTTGCTTTGTTCTCGCAATATTTTTCGTGTCGGTTCGAACATAGTTTTTTTCATTCATCAACAATTAAACTAAATTAAAAATTTTGCGTTGCAAATAAATGCTATAATGCACTGAGAAATTGTGTTTAACGTAGGATTAGGTGACTCATCGTCATAGGTCTAAAAATCTGAACATTTTTACGCATTTCTCCGTTCTGGGAATTTATTTTTAAATTCTATCAGATCCATTGGTAGACCAGGTCAGTACCAATTTATTAAAAATATGCACTCTAGATTCTGACAAGTTTTGAAGGAAGAGACCCAATTTTTCTGAAGGTGTTCACTCTTTTTGGGTCTCCTCCGTCAAAACTTGTCAGAATCTAGAGTGCATATTTTTAATAAATTGGTACTGACCTGGTCTACAAATGGATCTGATAGAATTTAAAAATAAATTCCCAGAATGGAGAAATGCGTAAAAATGTTCAGATTTTTAGACCTATGACGATGAGTCACCTAATCCTACGTTAAGCAATAAAAGACGACTCTGAAAGAAGTATAAATTTTTGTAAAATTTCCACACTCTTTCACTTTAGCTTCTGTAGTCACTTGTGGTGGTAGGGAAAAAAACATACAAATGCTGAATAACTCAAGCCTCACTTCCTCTGGCTGGATGGACCCAAACGTTAAATCCAGTTTCACAAGGGTGACAAACTATAAGAGAATGGGTTGTAACAAAAGTACGTGATGTGATTAGAATTGGAGTGCAGATTAACTTTTAACATCTTTATTACACCCATTCACCATCCACACACCATCAACTTGTCATTAGAAAGGAGGCTAAAAACCTGGCAGATAGCATTGGATGAAGGGAATGAGTCAATATTTCTCATATTTTATACCAAATCTTCCAAGTTACTTGAGTACTATGGCATAAAAATCCCGAAAATCTAGTCTCGTTAATAAATGCGTCAAGTTTTTCTTTCAATAAAAAGTACTAACGTACAAAAGTTTATGGCAAATGTTGGGCCGAGGAGTTTAAATAATAGTCCAGAAGTGGTTTGGTGAAGTAGTTGCAACAACTGAGGTGATTTATACTAATGCTCACATCATATCCTAATGTCCGTGCAAAATGAGCTGCGACCACAGAAAGATGTGAGTTTTTTATGTGCTATACATATGTACATACTTATATTTCTCTCTCCTCTGTGTCGGCCAAACTTTTTAGTCGACTTGTGTAGGACACATGAATAAGTGCACATTTCATCTCTTTATTGCTTATTGTTGTTGAGCGTTGTTGGAGAGGACAGCAGAGTTAGTGCTGGCCAAGAAATGCAATGTTTTCACATCAACAATGTTCCGTAATTTAGTCGATGTAGTGTAATGGCGTAATTTATTTAATAGTTCTGCTCTCTGCAGTCAGCGTGGTTGTCCATTTATCGCCAGCGACGAAAACACATCCCTTCTCGCAGTTATCCGCGTCGTCTGGGGAGCTGCATACTGGGTGGAAAACACTTTTTATTTCACTCTGCTCGTGGATGGGAAACGTATAAAAGTGAAAAGTTGCTTATTATTATATGATAATCGTAATGTGACAACATCATGTGAATGAATGGGACAGTCCATCTTTTTCTATTGGGTGGACTTTTTTGTCCCTCTTTGTCCTGCATGCCTACGGACGTATGGATTTGTATATACGAGGTCTATCAACTCACATAAAGCCCAATTACTTACGGAGAAGACGGGGACAATATTGGTACGGAACGAATAAAAAGATTTGTTCTTTTGGCTTGGAGAGTTTTTATGATAATTGTATTATGGAACTTGTCAAAATTTAATGGGTTGCACGCGAGTGAGAGAACAAATGTTCATTCGTATACTCAATGTCGTCGGTACGTTTTATTATTATTCAAAACCCAGACTCACCCAGAGTTTTTTCATAAAAAAATCAAAATGTATTTCATTTGCGATTATAAATATTAATCTTGTTCATTATTCGATTGGCTCATTTAAACATTTGCTCTTCATAAGAGATGTTTGTCTAGTAAGATTTTTTTAGACTAAGGTCTTCCTCTTGCAGGCAGTTTGGTAATTGCTGGGCCTTGATAAGCTTTAACCAATGGTTTGTAGGATGCACTGGCTGGAATACAAAAATTGATTATTGTATGGAAACATTTTTAAATAATTGTATGACTAATTTATACTTCCATTCCACGAGTTACCTCCATCTGCAGTGACATTTTCGGTTTTTGTCGTCTGATTCTTGGCGGATAAGTCCTTGGTCTCTATATCTTCGGAATTATCATCGTTTTCTAACTCGTCATCAAACTCTCCGTCTCGTTGCATTGACAGGAAAATGTTCATGGCTCGCTCATAGTTGTACAACGATGTAAAGTACATTAACTTGGTAACTGCCGCCGTCAACTGGGCCACGGTCAAAAGTAATTCTGCTCCACGAATCGCTTTGCTCCGAACGTGCATGAGATGCTGGATCTCGGACTCATTTGGTTGAGAAGGGTCGAAAGCTGAAAAACACATGCCCCAGAAATTATAGAGTATTCTCAGCAACCAAGGTGTGTCCTCAAAGTGTTCCGGAATCATCGTCCAATCCTCCAGCATCGGATTGAGGTAATTTTCATGATAAGATGGCAGTATGTTTAATCGTTTTTCAAGAGTCTCATCGTCCAGGAATGGAGTTAATGCCGCATATAAAACGCCTTCATGCAAGTTGTGGGATATCATTCCTCGGTCGCGTATAATCCTTTGAATCACGCCCAGCAGCTGGTATGTCAAGTAGCCAATCGTCACAGTGTTATATGCGTCGCGGATCTGTCAAATCATAGTCAAATCTGTTTGAAAAGCATAAAAATACACTACATCCTGCGCAGTCATATATAATTTGATCGCACCAGAAGAATTCTCTTGAATTCCGTTTGTCCGGAGAGGAAGTGTTTCCAGAAATAAGCCTCTTGTCCGCCTTTCAAGAAGATGGAAAGAATGAGAAATACGACAACCACCACAACGATCGTTTCCCACATTGGGCCATATAAGTCGGTGAAAGTGACGAAATTTCCTCCGACATAGATCCCAATCAAGGGGACGATCAAGCCATAAAAGATGGCATCCATTCCCTATTAATATCAATTAAGTAGGCGTCATTTATAGCACCAATTAATATTTACATATGTGCAAATAAGTGGATGTGAAACCCCGTGTCCCCAATTACCACGAGGAGAAGGGTCCAAAACGTATGGGAAGCCCAGCCAGAAGATAACGCCGGGTCGACAGAGTTGCCATTTTCTTCTTCGTCGTCTACGGAAGAAGTTGGTCCACCAAATGCATTTGAATTTTTCACTGCTTTGTTTAGTAGAGATGCCATTTTGAGAGTTGAGATGCGATTTATTTTTTCATATAATGTCGAATTATTAGTGTAATCATAAAATAGCAGAGGATTCAAAAGTTGACACTTTTTGCCTTCATTATAAATTAATTGGAGTTGTCTGGCAAACTTTGATCAAAATTCCATAAACCTGCAAAACAGTCGGATGGATGTGTGTCCTGGTAACGCGTCGGGGTTGGCAAATAAATTATAATTGCATTGTAATAATAAGCCAATAACCAATAATGTTGGGTTTCTGAACTTAAATGTGTAATGTACATAATGTACGTATATAAGCACTGGTCATGCACACAAGCCCATATTAGTTGGCCAAGTGAAACATACTCGGGACCAAGATGATTGTTTATTGTTATATAGATTTGATTGAATTGAAAAATGAATTTGTGGCGTTGGGTGTGACACGTTGTGCATGTATTAAACGTCTACCAAAGATGCCGAAGGAGATGAAATCCTTCCCACACATTTTAATCTCTCTCACACACAATATTAAATATTTATTGTAACCCGCAGTCTATTTGAATGAGTGAGATACGGACAGCATGAAGGATGAAATTCCTTTTCCATTTTTTATACGCTCCGCATGCCCTGTGGAAATCTCAATGAATGAAATTCAGATGTCTATCACATCACAAACAGATACTTCATTTATTTATGTATTTCGTTACTGCCCACTTGCTCGCTTATTGCCAAGTAAAGGTCAGGTGGCGATGATGATGTGGAATCGATTGTTTGGCTTTGTTTGAAATTTCTCAGGCATCAAATCAAACCCTTTTTCATTTCGTCTTGATAAGTGCTCTTCCTCTGCCACTTCTTGTCCTGTGCCCTCTGTCACTTCTGCCAAACCACACACACAATGTACATTGTTCCCATTTTCTGAGCCAGTGGAAACCAAAAATATTCTCAACCAGTTACTTTATACTTATGCTGCCGTTAATTGTACTATTTGTAAAAGAGTTAATGTAACGATTGTGTAAAAGGGTTTCTGATGCTATCTGCTGACCGGGCTGATTATGCCTCTTGTCGATATGGTCCATTCAACATTTCATGTGACATGCTTCACTGCATTGAAACATAATTTATGAATGAATCTAAGCCAATCAATGGAAATTCTCTTGAGCAAGCAGCACAAGACACACGTCAATACATAAAATCCTTCCCATCTGTACACCAACGAATGTGGAACGCTCTCATTGGAAAGTTCCTCATATTTGTACACCAAGTGGAGAGTGAGGCTGGCTTGAATTGATTCAAAAATGCGAATCATGAGACTGACAAATATTCGATTGGTTCTCTATAATCAGCTCTCTGCTCAATAGTCGTGGACATGAAGTAAACATAATTTTATGGTCTCCTGCGCGTCTAGCGTCCCTTATTTAGCAGCATAACAAGAAGGAATTCGGACGGGGAGCAGCAGACGATGGGAGTCAATTACACACCATTGAGAAGAAATTGTGCTTGTGAAATGTGTCATTTATCTCAATTTTTCTTATTGAGTTGTACTATAGCACATTTTTATCAATGGTCGTCTGGAAGGGTTGGAAAATCGAAACCAAGTTCACAGCATGGGTCACCAACGAAGGGAAAATGTCAAGATATGTGTACACTGTCTGTTGAATGGTCTAATTGAGTGACAAGGAGGGAGACCCCCCCGCACACACACAGACAAGTTTCACACCTGTGCGACATATTGACGTCCACATTGGTCACACGTTCAACAATATGATGCGTAGCGTAGGACTGAGGACCAGTTTCAGGCTTTTTTCAAAATTCTGTGCTAAATAATCAATTCTTGTTTATTATTTAGCTAAAAATCAAGCGTATTTTTGTTAGAAGTGTGATCTTGTGAGACGTGAAATGTTTCAACTCATTCAGAAATCATGTTTATGTCGCCCTTGACTTGAAATTGAGTGACATAACAAACAAAACTATCAATTCAGAGAATGTCCATGGGTGTGATGTGTTGCAGCATTGGTGTTTTTCACATAGTACAAAATATGTAGGGTAGTACACCTAAGAACACGTGAGGGATTAACCCTTGACACCTGAGTTTGTTAGTTGGCTGGGGGTGAAAAATGATTTAGAATTGTTGTGCCTGTCTGTACATAGTTGACTCGCTGCATAGACTCGTTTTAAATACATACATAGAGTTACAGCTTTGCCTTTATTGTCAATTTATATTTACGGAGGGTTCAAAAATCTATGATCATTGTGATAAGGTTTAATGCACATGCATCGAGACAGCAGGACTTTTGTGATGATGAAAATCGCTATGTCCTTTGCCATGTCCTTTTATCGACTCAAAAAGTCAAACTGCATATGTACATACATAGGTCAATATGCTGTGTCCGCAGTTGTGAATTAGCCTTATACAATTAATTACAAAATTTATGAAGTTTTAATCAAATTCAAGGGTGTGATAAAAAATTGTTGAGACTGTTAAAATGCTGAAGAGTACGCGATGTCCAATATATAAACACTGCTGGGGATACAAATAACAAAGTAGATACTACGATGTGCGATGTATGTATGTGTGTGCATATGAATTTACTTATGTACATATGCCGTATGATGGTGATAAATAGTAAGGGTTGACAATATGAAGGGATTTGCAGGCATTTGTATTTGTGTATGGATTTCATGTTTAAAGTGGATAGCGAAATTGAAAGGAGTTCTTTGAGAAAATTATGGGGATTAGTTATGTTTATGTTTTGAGGATGACTATCTTCAGTCGCACTTTTAATAGGATTAATGCCGTTCGCCTCCATTTTAAACTCCATTTTACTTACTCATCCGTCAAATATTTTCTTATTTAAAATGAGATTAAATGTGAGTACTTTCCATGATTGTGTTCAGTACATTTGCAGCTTATGATTAGTTTGGTTCCAAAGTTTTTTTATGTACATGTACACACTGATAACACACTAAAAACACATTCGAAAATTCTCATTATTTGTGAAGAGACGTAAGTCTCTAACACCCTGCTAAATTTCCTGGAGGATAATTTTATATGCAGCAACTATAGAGGATTCGAGATACCATAGGCATCTCGAAATTAAAGTCACGCATATAATACTTAAATCGAATAAAACTGCGAAATTTCTACCCTGATCATTACGGACACAAATTTGAACTCTGAGACATATTTGAATGCATGTAGCTCTAGTTTGGCCAAGTATAAGATACACTCATTTTGCAATTTTTTAAATTATCTGTCAAATACTATGCATCCACCAAGCTAGAGTGCTTTGATCGATTTTGGGTGCTGTTGTGTGTCAAGAGAAGCGTTGCACGTCCAAAAATGTTAGATATTTCCTGACCTTTAATAATACATTATCATTTATGACATGATGTCATTTTACAGAAATAAGTATTTCTATGTGATGTAATGAAGGTAGGAATGGGTAGAAAAACCTATAAAATCAGGACCAGGCGGTACGTTGACTTACAGAAGAACTTATGGGCGTATTTAAGAAATGGATCATTTAAAGGAAGATGACAGGGAGGCAGTCTCAAATATCCACTCGGCTAATCGATGCTCCACCACAACCTTCTTCTGTGGAATTAACTTTTTCAGAGATCCGGCTCATGTTTGAAATATTTTTCAACTAACTCACACCCTCCTCAGCAGTAAAAGGTGTTCATCAAAGAAATGGACCAATTTCCTTCACTTTCTTCTTTCCTAACCAACCCCAGAAAACTTGCATTCTTTGCTTTACATACACGCTGAATGTACTTACATCCTCACTCGACCCTCATCCACTTCTCATGATTGACTCATGTTTAACACACACACATTGAAATTATTCTTGGTATGAGCTTCATCAGAATGCAGTAATGGTTTTTGTTTACTTGGAGAAGAGGAGGATGAGCTCTCTGGAATCTATAGATCGTTTTTAGGTAGTTGGTTTGATGCAGGTGGCTAGAATATAATACTCCAAGTTGAAAAATGTTACAGAGTTGTTTGAAGCCGTTAAGGATACGTATACTAAATATCCGTATGAGCAGGGTGCCATAAAATTAAGGCAAAATCAAAGAGTGCCGACCAACACCTTTATTCGATATGTATCTATCTATCTATCCACCCAATGGCAAATTACACTTGACTCTAGTCAAGTTCACCAAATTCTTTAAACAACAATTATTATCTATACATTTCAAATCCAATCCTGGTGAGTAACGACCACTTACAGATTACTTGAACTATTTGGGTATGGTTATCATTCCCTCCATACCTATTTTGTTATACATCCGCTCAATATGTTGCATTCCTTCCTCCTAAATTATTCTTTCCAGGCACAATCCATCATCACAATCTGAAATTTACTTTTAAATCTCAAAACTCTGTCAAATTTGTGGTAAATTAAAGCTCAATTGAAAATACGTATGCACATATATTCGATAAGCAAGTCAATTCAAAATGTAAATCACACTGTACAGTTAATTTAAGACAATGCTCATTTTGCACAATCTTGTCGAACTGAGGAGATTAAAAGCCGACGCATTGTGATGACATTGTAAAATATTTTACTACAAGACAATTTAAAGGATAAACACAACTCTATGAATATTAATGGTCAAATTTGCCACAACCACTGCATGATCACAGCAACGTGTACATGGAGCGTATGTATTGTATGTACATGCCTGCATACAAACGATTTCAAAGTTTCAATAGAAATCAAAACATATCTCATGAAAATACAATAAAATCTTAATTATTGCAATTTCGGTGTCTCTGATCTCTGTTGGAGAACGAGCTGAAGGTAGGAAATAGAAATTCATTGATTTATGCGACATTTTGTATTGTTTTGTATTGTTCTTTTCTTTTCAATTAACATAAACATATTTTATTGGTAATTACGGATGGATGTACAGGATGAGCGACATTGTTGTCGTATGTGCATATCTACATTATCCTTGCAAGGGTTGGAACTTAGAAATACGGGATCTGATCGTGTTCATAGTGAGGTCAAGCATTTGTCTGTAATAAAGGAATACCTAAAAAATTGTACAAATATCAAACGTCGTTTCCTCTTGTACTCGTTGACCATCGAGCGAGTGGCTAGTTGTGCACCTAAATATTCCAATTAAAGTAGATTGGTATAAAACGCACCGGAGAATACATAAAAAAATCCTGTCCGTCTTTTATAAAGTCCATTTCAAAGTTTAAAGTGGTAATGTAAACGGGCATTTCCAAATATGTACTTCAATCATAACACCTCAACTCTCGGCACGATATCACACTTCCACTCGCCTCGTACGATTTTGGCCTGCACCACCTCCCCAACAACAATAACTTTTATTTCTAAGTGGGCTCGCTTTGTTTAATAAGATCCTCGTTGAACTGGAACCATTTCAAATGTAACGTTTAAGAAATGAACTGGAAATCGTAAGCGACTGGACAACCAGGAGATTTCTTGACGAGTTGATGAGAGCTCATGTTTTATATTTTGAATTTTAAGTTATGTGTATTAATGCAGACCATTCCTTGTACGTCGAAATCCAGCCAAGTAAAAAAAATAGGATAAGTACCCATTTAACACTTTAGTTTCCACACGCGGGGATATTTTTTTCTTGTGGCAATAACAATAATAATAATAACTTTCTTAAAAGTATCATATTTAAATAGAAAAATATCCAAATACTAATTAATGGATACCTCCGTATGCATACAAATGTATTTAGTTGTATTATCAACTTATGGTAATCATATCTGCATCCAGTTTCGCACGACACATCACTGAGTAATAAATTTCTGTGGTTTCATGTCTAAATTAAGTTTCTCATTTGTCCGTGAATTTCGTGAGTTTGATTAGATCGATGAGTGGGTGGGAGAAGAGTTTTATTGGATTTTATTACTTTCTGCCTCTCCCACAACAAGTATATTCTGTGTTGTTGTACTTGTTGGACAACACGAAGGCTCAGGTTTTCGTACATACATTTCACTCATAAAGTATTTACTGCGTTATTGCCTTTTATAACTTGAATCACCTGTAAAAGAAACTGCTAAATTGTAAATATTAACATTTTAAGCTTAATGCGGACACATTATTTTTTACACATTACGAGCACTAAGCGGTGGTCTAAATATATGTTGCCAACATGCTACAAGTATTGAGATATTATTACAATGTGAGGAAGAAAATTCAGCACGTGCTTAACTGGCAATATGTGTATACGAACAATATCAATGCATTCAGCTAAAGTCTGTAACAACTACTTTTCACCCTCCGATATGAATGGAGATGGAATTCGTTACCAAATACAGAACTCATGCACCTTTCACTTACTTACTATTCACATGCACACGTTATACACATTATTTGTTGTGTGCCAAAATATGCAAATATTTTTATAGCAGTATTGAATCCCATACGATTGCCTCGTTAAACAAGTAAAACCCGACAAGTCAAATCAAGCCACGAAATCCACCAAAAGTCATGAAATCAGAGTTTGAGATTACCAACACGCACGAAATTGTTTGCATTAGTGTGCTCATATCCCACTTTAAGTTGGGCTGTCTAAAATGTCACGATGAATTTGAACATTTTTAAACGAGCAAATCACGAGAATTTGCTAGTTGATAAGTAAATGTTTGGTTAATTGGGCGTGGCGTGTATAATATCAAGTGAAACAAAGGATCCTGGTAAGCATTATTTGAAAGCACGCACGGCCTATCCTCCTCTGACTACATAAATATTTGCACCATTATTTATGGCAGATTGTTGATTTGTAGCTGACCATTCCTCAAAACGTTTATCAGCCATGCTGAAGTTCGGTTTCTTAGCCTGACAGACGCTATAAGATACTGCAACATATGTATTGGACCTCTCCGTGGGTCCGGTACACATTGTTGTCGGATTATTATAGACATCCGCCGCCGATCGAGTAATCTAAAGGTTCCACGACAGCTCACGAAGCTTCATTTCTTTCCGCACCATTTTCTTACCAGTTCGTGAAATTTTGTTTTTTCTTCTCCAGTTCATGACATGAGATAGTGGTTCACATTATGGTAGAACCAATAATGCCGTGCAGATGGAAAATTGAATTAGTTTAAACGTATTTGTGGCCATTAGCCTATTGGCTCTAAAGCCGATTCAAGATTAAGTATGACTGCCCAGGACAACCCCTTTTATCGCAGCATGTGCACAATGAGGAATAGTTAACATTTGTTTTACTCACTCTGGTGTATACTTACATACGTATGGATGATGCGGATGTCATGACTGATTCGGTAATTCCTTATAGCATTATATCCCACATTTTCGAATTTTAACGTAATGATCTACAATCTATGTATACGTGTAGCTCGGCTGTTTTCCTTCCTAAATTTTTCCATAAACTGTTGGAAGCGGATTCAAGTACCCTCTAATTAATCCGGCTCTTCATTAACCTACCAATTTCATGATTTTAGTTACACCCTCGGCCCAATCTAATACGCCTGGATGGCCGAATCGTGTCGTGTAATGTGGAAATTAACGGCGTTGTTATGTACTTTGTATCCCTTTATCCATCTACATCTGACATCTGATCTATCAAATTTTCTACCTGCCTTGTTCAACCTGCCGACTGGGAATTTTTTCTCTTGTAAATAAGTACCCGCAGTAATCGTGGCGTTATCTTGGTTGTCTTTTCCTTAATTTAATACTTATCAATCATGTCGTCTTTTATGATTTATAATTATCGCTATGAGATGCTGATAGTAAATATGTTATAATGCGAATGACGGGATATTTTACTAGAGTAAGAACTTCTGTATGTATAAATGTACATACATGCACAGTATGTGCATACTAAGAATTCATTATTTGATCACAATTTTATCGCCTCCACGTTTTTACCCTTCTACATATCTGTCCGCCTGTCTATGTATAAGTATGTTCTGCGGGAAATAATGTACAATAGTGCAAGTACTGAGTACGCTTATGATCTTGTTGGACTGAAATATCAAGTTGGGTAACTTTATAGAGAATACACGATGAGACACCCCCATTCAGTACGTCGCCAATAACGTGTACCTCGATATGAAGCTACGGTCCTTGCATCCGTCGCCAGTCAAGAATGATTCACTAATAATAATGAAACCGTCATCATCATAGAAAGGAAGACTATGAGGATGTCAAACTCACCAAGTAATTCTTCTCGTCTGAACAGGCAACAATAAAATATGTAACAATATTATGTGCCTTCTTTCAAACTGTCAAGATCAAAACTTCTGTCGTAAAAATTTATAATAATTTCATTTTCTTCACATGCAGTCAGATTTATTTCATATGGAATATGTACGTACAGCATGGAATTGTAATTGAACACGCCGTTTTATGCTGAGGTACTGTATTTATGTGCATGCTGGAGTTTGTCGGAAGGAAAAGCCTCATTTTTTGGGGCAACTCACTGGGAAGAATTGGTGGAGAGACATGTCATCAAGGGGAAGCAAGAAGCAGAGTAGGTGTGAAATCATAATAATGAACTTGACACATTGATAATTGATTACCTCTCTCTCTCATTGTCCAATTCATCACGTCATATATTCGCTTCACGCCACAGCAGCACAACGAACCACCTCTCGAGCCTGCTCTTTTTATATGATAGGTGTCAAAATCCTAATTAATTAAAGCCTATTCTTGAATTAAGAGTCATATATCCACTTTCAAAGGCATAATCACAATCTGCTCCATTATGCTTTTGCTCACTCACCCAGCAATGTCGTCAGCATAGCACCACTGCTACATGCATATGTACCAATACCTAATAACAGCGTTACATGAGTCAGGAGAAAGACTTGATCGTCACTTGAACCATCATCATCATCATCAACAACAATTCAACAACCCAGGTTAACGCCACCCAGGTCAACGCCAACTAATAAACCATAATGATACTACAAGTACAATGCTTCTCCTTCACAAAGTAATTAATCTTTCGCAACTAATTACACTTGACTTGTAGACAATTTATTTCCGTTCGATTTAGGTGAACAATATCATCATTGCAGGCAACACAAGAATTATTACAAACTATGTAAACCATGAACTACGATTCATTCAAACAGTAAGTCATATTATAAATATTTGTTAATAGTATAAAATATTTTAAATCTAGCTTCGCTATCACACAACACATGTCACAACACACTTTAGGGAGATTCTGTTTCGTCAATAAATAAGTAATGACTTGAGTCAGGACAGGACTAAAAATTGTTTACAGGTTAAAAAGTTACTCCATCATTTCAAAATGCAACATACAAAACATTATTATAAAACAATATCACGATTCCTATTTTAAATGGTAACAAGTTTTGCTAAGCTTAAATTATAAAAGAAAGATCAATTATTTTAAGTTGTTAACTCGGTAAATTGCTCACAAAATATCAGGTATGCATACAAATTGTGCATGTAAAGTAAAACTAGACCACTTTGTAAGAGCAGCAGCAGCAGCAACAAGAAGGGAAGGTTTAGCAGAGAACAAGCAGGGAAAAATTAATTAAACGCGAATGTGGCAGTAAATGGCAAACATAAGAACAGAAGGGACTGCTCAGGTAAGTCGTAGTAATTAAAAGTAATGGATAGCCAAACGGTTTAGAATGATGGAAAAGGGCCCCTGCTGTGACAAAGCTGTCAGACTTGGACATGTCAGAAGAACTGTTCCCTCACCTGTCATTATTATTAACAACAGCAAACTCCTACAATGCACAACAACATTAAACCAAATACAATACTTAACAAGGTTTACTTTATAACTTATACGAGTAAACTTAACAAGACAGCCAGAGAGTTACACCAGTTAAATCATTTGATGTTGATTAAACTTGAGACGGTTTACATTAAATTTTGTGCTAACAAACATTCTTTTAAACTGCATGCTTGTCAAATTAAATACGTCCATCATTCATGCAATATGCATACCTACATAACATTGACAACATCTTGCCTGAATATTTCAATAACATGAACAAATTAGACAAGACAGAATTGTCATTACATAGAATAAAGTACTCAATTAAAACAATAAAATTTGGGGAAATTCACATGCACATCAAACCAGTAGAAATGCAGGCATGTATGCATCGAAAGTCTATGAAACGAGACACTAACTAACGCTTAATTAGTTTGTACGTTAGCAATTGGGGTTTCAACCAACGTTGTACTCATTGAGCATGTTCTCATCGTGCTTCATTAAGTGAGCAGTTATTCCTTTAAGTGTTCGATAACTAGTTATGTTACCACGCCTGTCTCTGCAAAAGGGACATCTATACACTAAATTGAGAATGTGCGTAGTGTAGTGACACATCAAATTGTATCGGCTACTCAATTGAGAATCGCACAAGGTGCAGAACAAATTGTCACATTTTGCCAAATGCGTATAACAGTGTTTTGTCCAGGCGCCCACGCAGGGGAAATCGTCAGAGCAGAAGATGCATTTAATCCTTGAAGCAAGAGCGCTGTGTGCAATGGACTCGTTCTTGCGTTTGAATCCCTTCTCGCAATCCTTACAGACATTTCCTTTCGGTGTGAAGACACCACCGCCTCCCGCGTTCTGAATGACCTTAGGGGTAACTCTGACGCCATGTTTTCGTACCAAATGGAGTTGCAGTAGCTTGGTCGATTTCAGAGCTTGTTGACAAATCTTGCACACATTTTTTCGTTGTTTCCGTATTTTACTTTGGTTTTGACGCATCATTTTAAAAGGTTCCGGGGGTAGATCTACAGCTGCTGGAGGCTTTTGTTTGTTTTGTGACTCCTTTCTTGCCTCCACAGCTTGCATATTTGATTCTACAGGCATATTTTCTTGAATACTTGGTTCTTCAGGGTGTAGTACTGATTTTACATCTTCTAGTTCGGATTTCTCAACTTCATCGTACATTCCCGGAAAACTACACAAGAGCTAGTGTCAACATGCAGTTCGACAATAACAAGTGGTAAGTGTAATTAGTTACCCCGCCTCAACGACTGCGTTGAATAGGTCAATGCCAACTTCTTCTACAAAAATGTCAGATGAAGAGAGCCCTGTTTCGTATCCAAGAACGAAGTCGAAGAGATTCGTGTTATCCAAATCCAGGTCCTCGACCTTGTACTTCATGCAAGGAATTGTTTCCTCACGGCCTTCTTCAATACTCTCTGGGCAATTGATTTCCTAGCAAACACAGTAAGAATGACAGGTCAGCAATTATAACAATACAAAATTATAGTATTTGAAAATATTCAACATTGATATCAACTCAAATAGGTGCTGCGTCCCAAAAACATTTTCCACATACGATTTTGTTGAAAATAGTATAACTAATTTTAAAAATTTACCATTTTAAAAACTCAATTCCTGAGGAGTCGGAAGAAAGTCGGTGGTCGAAGTCGAGCAACGTGGAGCCATTGTTGTTAAGATAGCCTCCCGCTCAGTAGTTCAGAAGCACGTGTAGTCTCACATTGGAAAACCCAATCGTCGTCAGATTCTATACCGAGTCGCATATTTCCCAAAAAAATATTCTTGAATTCTCATCATATTCGTTCTTAGGTTTGATCATTGATGTTCATCTGCCCCCTCATTACTCCGACCACTCCTATAAATTGATGCTATATTTACCTTCACCGACCATGCCAATCTTCGAACTCATCCAGTGCCTTGTCGAGATACGCATTTAAGTGGGTCAAAATATTTAGCTCTGTTGCTTGACCTGAGGTTTGAGAAACAGTTTTATTTTCTGAATTGACAACTAAATAAATAGTTCCGCTCTATAAAATCATGCAATGTTTCCGCTTCGGTTTTTATAATAAGCGCTAAAGATATGTGCAGCCTTTTTACATAGTTAGGAAACTTTATTTAATTTCTTTGTTCAAAACACAATATATGTATGTAGCCCAAAGTGTGCCCACATTTAATGACAAAGTATTTTGAGAAAGTAATTTCTACCGACGAGAAGCGATCATCAGACAAAACCGAGCCGACAGAGGCCCACGTAGAATCGAAAGATATAGCTCACATATTTTAATAAGAAGTCATAAATCCAAGCATGAGTCGACGGAGGACGGGAGAATTCCTTCCTGAAATTAAAATTCTCACTTGGGGTGTATTAAGTGAGCTAACCAGGTGAGAATTAAGATTGATTTTTGGAAAAACTCATTTACTTCATCTTGGAGGAGGTCTCGTTCTTGTTGAGCTCTCTCTCATGATAATGTAATCGTGCCCCACACACCCCACGATGTGGTTCCTGGGCAGCTTTCCTAGAGGGGAGAAGAAAGGCAAATCTTTATGACTGTGACAAATCAGACATTTCTCACATTTGTCTATCTGTCCGAGCAAAAGAGGCCGAAGTTTGTTGAGCTTCTTGAACCAAACGAAATAACAATGCAATGCAATAAAATAAAGCATCTTCTTCCCATTCTTTCGGATTAGAGGTAATCCCCTCGTTTGTACTCTGGTCGATGGTGGTACATGAGCAGAGAGAAATAAATACGAGGTGTTAAATATTAATACAAGTGTGAAAAACACCTGAATTCCACACCGAGTTCCATTCAGCATGGAAATAGGAAATAGACGGCTTCTATTTGTACTTTTATCCTCTTTGCCTTCATTCTGTTACTACTCCCCCGGCGGTGCAGTACAGGGCTGTTGGGGGGGGGGCATGTATCTAGTTTGTGCTTAACTGCCTTAACTACTCCCTTGAGGTTTGATTAAAGAAAAATGTTGGGTACAAATAAATCTGGATTTCAGGTATAAGGCTGCCGACGTATATACATACAGACTAGTAGATATTTATGTATCAGTATTGGAGGAAGGATCGAGTCATGGTTAGGTTAGGCAACTTATTAGCTGAACGAGGAGCTAAATATACTTTATGATCAATGACTCGTTTCGCACCTTTTCAATTACTTAGATATTGTACGTGACCGAAATTAGCCCCCATGTAACTTCTATTAACATGAGGGGGGAGGGGTTCACTTCAACGTCGAATCAAAGCTTGCTTTGTGCAACGCCTTGCACAAGCAAGCATAGGACTATGTGCTTACTTACATTTATACATACAATGCTGGACAGTATATATTTGCTCATCGGTTTTGAATTGCATATGCACCGAGCAGGTAATAATTATTACTCTATTTCTGCAGTTAAACTGCATAATAAATATGACAACAAATAAGAACGTGTGTCTGAAATGACAAAAAAGGTTTGCTGTGCCAAAATACCTGATGTCGATGTGTTATTACAATATTTCTATGATGTTGTATTCTGCCAAGTTTTATTTTAATGCAATTGGAATCCTGCGGTTCCTTCATGAAAAGTGTGAATTTCCAGACCCTTACATAAACTTTGAATCGTATTTAAGCAGTGGCAGAAAGGACGGGTCGTCGGTGAGTCTAAGAGTAAGCAGAGCATTATAAAAAAGTGAGAGTTGCTCGGGGTGGAATTAATAAGGGAGCAGATAGACATTTAGGAATGACTTTGGGGAGTTGACTGTTGAAGTAAACGTGAAAAGTTGATAGATTTAATAACATTTAAATGTGTATTTGTATGCACGCCCAAAAGGAATTGAGATTGTGATGAACGAGTGTTGAGTCGGCCTTCTCTAAAGCTGGCTGGCCAAATTAAACTTTTTTCTAAAAAGACAAGGAATCTAAAACTACACATTGTTCACCACAAAAAAACTAGTTAAACTCAAACTCAAATGAAACATGTCCATAAAATAAGTTACCAGGAGAGTGTAGTGCAAATATTAAAATACTCATTTATGCAGACATCAAAATGTTACGAGTTAAATTCAAAATTTGTTGAACACAAATTTATGCTTACAAAATAATCGAAATAATGAACTTGAAAAAAGTAGATTACACGGGAAATCTACTTGCTCTCAATAATTACCATAAAATGAGTTAAAGTCGCAATTTTATCAATTTCTGTCTCTCGAATGGCGTTCCTTTGATGCACAGACAAATTAATAATATGGAACAAATTAGTGTAATCCCAACGCCCTTTATGAGTCTTCTATTCCCCATTCCACCCAATCTTCTTATCCATCTCGTCCTGAGTGCAAACACGCAGACATAATTTAATGGACATTTTGTCGCAACAACTTGTAACTAAAAAACAATAACAGCAACCTGTAATAACACATAATGATACGAATACCTACACAAACTGCTAGACACCTCTCGCTCCTATCAAACGAGTAGAAACCATGATATATGTAACGGCAAAGGTAAATAAACTGCACTTTCGGCGTCAGGTAATATACGACTAGGTAAAAGAGGAGTACGTACGCTGGTGAGATTTTCAGGTGAGCCCCCAATTTCATTTCCATCTATCCGTCCATCTAATCCATCTCGCAGCCCGGCATTCTTTGCTGATTAAAGGGCTCGATGAAAAATAAACCTGCTGCTGTTGTTTCAGAAGACCAGCTTCTGCGGAGGATGGATGGTTGGTGATAATGGTGAAAAAATCTGGACCGATAACCAATAGCACATACTCAGTCACCCTCTCGTGGGGTGGTGATCCGCCCTATGGCTGACCCAGTCCAGACTTTGAAGCGATTAAATAGTAATCATTCCACCCAATTTACTTTTTTATTGCCGCACCAACATGACCAAGGAATCGGCCCGCAGCAGCAGCAGCAATGGTGGTTGTAAAATCAAATGTAATGCCTGAGCTGTCATGAGAAATCAGAATTTTAAAATTTGATAGTTCTTTCCCCAACGAGAAGAAGAGGAGAGCCGTCCGCCTATTCGTTAACCGGCTAATTCACATTATATGCAAATACGATTAATAAGGAGCTCATCATTCGAGGAGAAAACAAATTGCATCTTACTCGCTCTTTAACAGCAACAACTCGGGACATGCGAATGTGGAATGCATAATTGGAAATTGCAGTTCGAGATGATGATCTCATGGTAAACATGAAGCTGGCTTGGTTTTAACTGAAATATGTTCTCCTTATTGTGCTGCTTGAGCTTCAATCTCGCCACAATAATCTGCATTCTCACCATCTTCGTCATGTTGGTCGAATTAGATGATAAATTAAATATGTAGAGTACGTATGTTTTATTATTATTTTGGGTATGTACAGATATTTGTGTTATATTGCAACTCGCATTGAGACAGTATGCTCATCCAGTTTCACAATATTACTATTACGAGTTCTATCTATGCTTAATTTTCTAAATCAATTTTACCCCATTATTTATTATCTGTAATGCATAAAACACAAATTAAACACTGTGTTTGGTGTAGCTTTGAAATCTTGCACAAACAAATGTCATAAAAAAGCAGACTCCACGAGATTTCTCAGTCAAATCAAATTTACAACTCGTTTTTCATCTATGGTATGTATTACAGCCAACTGATAGTAAAGCAAACTACACTTTAATCTATTTTAATTTCATTTGAATTACAAGACGGATTATTTGCATTAATTTTGGTTTTCCTACTCAAGTAGGAAAATTGTTATTAGGAAGAAAAATGCCGTTGGAGGACTTCATTTCATATTTTGTGTTTTCATTGCACGAAGAAGCAATATTTATTTTATGTTGTTATTATTATGCCCACTTTTTATTTGTTCAAAGGCTACAATTAAGCAAATTGCAATCTCTTCATACAAACAAAGTATACATTAATTGACTTGAATTAATCTACAATTATTACTTTGTTATAGTCTGTGTATTTTTTAATTTACATATTTTTGATTCGATCATTCCCTCATTCTTAACGCAATATGATTATAATTCATGAGTACATATAGCGGATATTGAGTTATTGGACGTAAGATCTTATCACTTATGGGTCCATTTATTTGCATTTCTATTCTGCTAGAAATATGTATGAAATGGATTAATTGACTTTCCAAATAATAACGGTTTTAATAGCTTTCTAATTCTTCACCTGAAATTATTACTGTTTGCAAACCCACTTTAGCAATATGTTTATGTTGTAATTAAATTCTGTCTAAATCTGCAGTTTAACTTGGTATGCCCAATTTGCTTACAAAAGATCACAAACAGAAGCCGCTTATGTATTTCAATTCATGGACAGTTCAATGCTCACCATTCTAATGGAATAGAGAAATAGGTTTCGTGCTGGGAATTGCAATTCATCGCTCTCAAGTTCGGTAGCAAAACAAAGGCTGCACCAACGCTAAAAAGGTTGAATGGAGGAAAACACAAAAAACGGGTGCAATCGCTTTGCTGGGACTTTGTTGTATGTCACAACAAAGAAGACAACATCACAACAGGTACATAAATACGTTGAACCGTCTGAAAAAGGTCGTTTGCATTCGGTAGACATGAGACGAGACTGAAAACGTATTTACGTGTACATACATAGTTGCACAAATGCAAAATAATTATTCTGTAAAATATTAATTAACATGCAAAACATAAGAAACCAATTCATTTTTCGCGTGGTAATGAAAAACTTAATTAAAACATGGCGGTTTGAAAATACAAAACAAAAATTAAAATTTCAAATTGTTCATAACTCGACTTGACGTCAGGCACAGGGTCGACGCGTTGCCAATTTTCAATTTAAACACTGAACGCAACCAGCGACACTCAATTTGCAAATTAATCATACAATTTAATTGGTTGTGTAATGGAAAGAAAATTGCAATGTCGATAGGTCATGAGGAATCCCAGACAGAAGTACGAATGTACATAAGTAGAAGAGCGAAAAGTAATAAAGTATGTGCCGTACTCTCGCCGACAACCACCTAATGATCTGCAACTACATACACTTCACCTAAAAAGTACAAGATATGTGGATACATATTGTATGCCTACCGTAACACCTCCCCTGCCTGGTGGATGCTGGGGAAATCTGCATGAAAATCGAATTACTCTTCACCTTGTCCACAAATTTGCTTCCGACACCAGCAATGGGTGCACACACGTTATTATGTGTGTACCCCTACTTGATATTACACTTATTCAAGTCAACATTAGTCCCAAGATAACGATCGACACCACTTAATTTGATGCGAAAACAAAAAAGTAATCTGTTCTCATCTTCATTTTACTTGCAGGCGGCCCAGCCTCACTCATGTAGATATTCACACAGCAATGTGTTTTGATTTTGAGAATTCATGTCTGATTTCTTATTTATTTAAATTCTAATTTATTTCTGCTCAAAGAATGTGGTCAAACCTGTGGCGGATTCGCTTCACTGTCAATTTTATGGTTTTAATCAATGAAACGCCCATTCCCTGTTCAGTAATTTTTGATTGATTGTAAAAAGATGCGACCAGTCTGGATTTGCACCCTGTTTGCAAATAAGATGAATCGCTTTAGATTAAAGTGCGGTTAAAAATATGTAAAGGACGCTACTTGGCGTACCTTGTAAACACGTACATAATGTATGCAATGGTATTTGTGTGTGTGTGTGTATATAGCACTTAATTCATGTTTTCACACAAGCAGGATTTTTGTGAAAGGAAATTTTTCACAGACGAAGATGAAAGAAAACATTTTAACCGCAAGATTATTAAAACACCTCGCTTTGTGCAATTATAGTCCCGATGTGGCAGTAATTGCCATAATTTTCATAAAAAGTGACTAATCGTATCACATTCACATCTCCTTCTGCTGCAGTGCAATCTTTGCCTAATCTTAATTTTATACGGGATAATTTTGTAAAAGTCTTGGGAGTGAGTACATATGAGCTTCTGAATTTGGTTTGCTGGGTTAATAATGATAGACTTAAAGAATGATTCGACAGGATGTGGACTAATTGCCGTTTCAGCGTGCACTTGGGTTTTAAGAGGAGGAATCAACCCTCACATCTAAATTGCTCTGGCTCACACTTACAAACAATAATTCATGTATCGTCGTATTAAAAATTGAAGTGTTGGGCTATCTGTTATTCATGCTGTAATTTTCTACCCAGAGAAGGAATCCGATCAAACATTTACCAAGTTCGCTTATTATTATTGAAGTTCACTCACTTTTAGTCCGACACTTGTGAGCGAGGAGGGTTTTTTTATGGCCTATAATAATTCTCCCCTGAGTGTACATACATACATATGCACATATATGTACATTCTTCGTAGTGCGGAAGCAACTGGTGGGTGATAAATATTGATGGGGAATAAACTAATCAGCATGTGTATACATATAAATACGAAAGTTGTGTTATTTATTGAACTTGATTTTGTAGCTTACAAATAGTCCAAACGGGAAGAAATTGATGTACTACCCACTTTGTCCCCCCCTACTTTGAAGGATCGAAAAGAATATCATTGACACCTGACGAAGGATCTTGGAGATTTATCAGATTCGGATTGACCTACACACATTCAACCACACATTTACATAACTTTTATATGCATATGTTTGCAAGGCAAATATAATTTTATAGGGACAAACTCACGGGATAGATGAGGTCTTCTGCATCTCTGGCTGATGCAACGACTCTGCCACCGAGCTGATGTGGGGGTGTGACTGACATTAGGTTTCGCCTGTGAGAGAAGGACGCATCTTGAGCCGCGTCGAGGTATGAAGCATCCCCGTCAGCAACAAATTCCTCTCCCAAGAGTTCCAATTGTTCCTCAAGCTCCTTGTCGTCAATTATCGGCATATTCAAGTCACTTGCTAGAACGTCCTGCACATCCTCAGATGTCTCAAAAAGTTGTTCCAGCTCATCGTGCAAATCCTTGGAAATTAAGATGAGCAATTACAAAATTAAGCCATGTTCATCTATAAGTATACGCAATCCAGCTCCACTGCATGTTTATGTACCTCCACACTTTCCAAATTGACTTTTTTCTGTGCTTTCTTTAACTCTTTTACTCCTTGCTTCATCGCAACAACAGCTTGTACGGCGTCCTTTGTAGATTTTAATGTGATATTTGTCTGCTCAAAGTTAAACGACTGCTGTCTCAAAGTTTCTGCTTGTTGTTCAAATCTACATATTTTAAATACATTAAGTTTTATATCAAATAAATTTTCTGATCGGACGGAACCTTTTCTTTCTCTGGATTATTCCTTGCGCTTTGGCTCTCAAGTTTGCTTTGGTCGATCCTTCTTGTACTTTGCGGAGGCGAATTGATACCATTTTTAAATCTGTTTCACATTGGGCAATTTTTCTCTCCAGATCCTCAACTTTATTGTCCGTCTGTATAGATGAAGAATAATTTATTGTGTGGCTATTTTTACTATTTAGATGCCCACAGTACTAAATGCATGTAAAAAGAAACGAAACCGAGGTGATAAGTTGTGAAAGTCCAGGCTGAGGTGCCTTGTTCCATAATCGATTGAACAATCCTCCTGGTTGTTTGGCTAGAGGGGGATTTTGAGAAGTAGGGGTGGTTTGCTGGTCGGGAGAATTTGTGGGTGGTGATGCTTGTGGAGGTGGTGACACTTGTGGAGGTGGTGGTGCAATTGGGGGTTGACTTCCTTCAGGCTTTTCCGAGCTTTTCTTGGGAAATGGGATTCCAATTATGCGTTTCATGTTTTCACCTTTTTCATTTGATTAGTGTCTTTGAATTTTGAATTATTAAGAATATTAAATATTCTAATTGAGGACGTGAATCGAAAAACAACTTGTAAACAAATTTAAATTTAGTGTAGTCATGCAATTTGCACCATGGATATCAAATACGGTACAGAAATAATTATTATTTTAATTCCCTTCAAAAATGTGTACAAAATTAATTGAGACCATGATTTTTGCCTCAATGTTGGATATCCAATAGAAACAAAGTTGACCTGAATTGTATATACCTACATATATTTTATGCACCTTCCTCTCATCTTATTATTATTGTACTATGATTGAAGAACGAATAGAATAAGTATATGTGCAAGTGTGGTTGGTAATAAAATTGTAATGCATATTTCCACCCTCCTCGCACACCTTAAAATAAAGAGTACAATACATGGCTACATGCACATTTATAGGGGGAAAGATGCGAGACAGCGATAAGTCCTCCTGCATTTACACTTTTCTTTCACAATGCGGCTGACGTTGAGTCAGATCAGATTATGAGGAAGTGGTGTGAAGATGATACTTCCATGTCATAATAATCCCATTATTACCAATTTTAAAGTCTCAGACCCTTCTCACTCAATCAACTGTCAAATCCGGTAATTTATACCCAATCCATATGTTTATAACGCTCTGGCTGAACACATCCATAAAGATTACAACGACTGCGAGGAAAGACGTCATTACAAGTTTCGGTTCTATTTTTTTAGACTTTTATTATTTTTACCTCACTTTACAAGCAGATATCCATTTTGTAAGCATTTTGTTTCAGGGGGATTTTGCGGCGACGTGATTTTCAAGGAATTTTTGTTCTTTGCGTTAAAACATGCTTATGCATTATAGTTTATTTATAATCGCGGGCTTATCGGCCGTGCCGTGTCGCTCTTGTTTTCAAAGAGAGTCAATGTGAAAAGGAAAAGTGAAGCCCTGTTGACTGCTGTTTATTTGACCGAGATGAGAGGTTTGGCTTGATTCTAGCTTCTTGTTGAGATTGACTGCTCATATTCACACTTACTCAAAAGTAGTCAAAAGGCTTTCAAAAGAAGCAGATTAAGGAAAGTGACTTGACACAATTATTATAGGCCCTGCTCTTTTATGCTTCGTTCTCATCTGTAAAACTGATGACTCGTTCAAAACCACCAATCTAAATTTCAAGGCTTCCGAATTCAATGGGAAAAATTATGTAACGCTGTACACTTGTGAGCAAAAGGATCTCGCAGCTTTTCATTTTTGCCGAGGTTAATGTTTCTAATTGAACCTAATTTTCGGAGGCTGAAAAGGTTGCATCATGTTCAAATTTTAAAGATGAATGATCTCATTTATAATTTCTTGAGGCACAACTATACACATGTGTACTTTGAAATTGTTCTCTTTAGTAAAATCAGGTCACATGAGGCTATTATTGCCAAATTCAGAGGTTTAAGCTATCGTGGACGAATCTTGTCCTTGTTGATTATGTTTTTAATTTTACTTGATTGTTATATATAGGTATTTATCAGACTGACCGAGCCATGAGATGGGAAAGTAATAAGTTCAACGTTTGTGCTCTAATTATACTCAACAAACAAACTGGAAGAGATGAATTTGAATTCGATGATAATTGGGACGTTGAACAAATTCAGATAATCTTTAAATTTCTGGAGGGCAAGAAAGAGAAATTATTATACGTGCATTATATATACGTAGTTTTTGTAGTTGATACGTTATGTGATAACCATTTTATTTGTTAATGGGTCCATCACTTGTTATCATCATCATTGTTATACAAATACAATGCACTACGTTACACACATCATGGAAATTGGCTGGAGTAGTTGATTGACGGTTGACCATGTCTCCTCATCTTCCAGCAAAGTTTAATCAGACCACGTACACGGGCTGCTCGACCCTTTTCTCCTCGACATCATGGACCAAGATTATTGTGGATCAATTTATCAAAAGGTAAACAAAGGTGTTTTATAATGCGTTTAAGGAGGGAACAATGCAAACAGTGAGAGATCAATCTCACCACAAAGTCCAAACTGATAGCTGCGATGCTAATGATCATTTTGACAATCTTGTTACAAACTAATTATTCCAAGACGGACAGGTACACACAGCAACTAAATACACATTCAAAGCGTGGATGAAGCCATGTCTCTATTATCATATTCATTTAAATATGAGGAAATTGGACCATGTCTATTCTCATCGCCACAAAAACCATTCCGTCGATCGACCAACATTTTAGAGTACGGCACAAGCCATTGTTCTCTTGTTAGAGCATGATGATGTTGGTTGCGAAATAATTTACAATCTGTCACTTTTCCCTTCTTGGCTATGGTCCACTTCTGTCAATGTTCAAAGCAATTACTTTGGACGAAATTGAGCCGATTTCTCATCGTGGTCTATTGACAGTCAGTCGTGGTGGTGCACAAGAACGCCTGAAAAATTAACAAAAGCCATGCACATAACTATCAACTATGTATATGTATCTATGCATGTACATACATACTGCGCTGACTGACCGACTGACAATCTGGCAGGTCCACGTTCAAGGAGTAATCCTTAGTTTTATATTCATATGGTCATGATTGCTTAGAATTTATACGATACATATATTTACATATCTGCATACATTGGACAGTTTAAAAAAATCCTGTATACAATTAAGCATACAGCACAGCGTAAAAGGAAATATCGGGATAATTATCAAACCAACACTTTGTTACTTTGTTGATAATGGTAAACACCATTTAAATTTAAATAAACTCAATTAAATCCAAGCTTTTTTGTTGTCCCAATATTTACTCTCTTAATTTACAGACTATTGCCAAAGTCAGCCATGATAATTAGTGCGCACTTGAATGGCACTTAAGTGGCAATTCACTAGAGATGCGCTGCTGCCGTTGCTGCTGCTGAAGAGAATCACAGAAAGATTTATTTGGTAGGAAACAAATTACTTGCTTCATTTCCCTTCAAGGAGATAAATTGGTACGTCACGCATTATTAGTGAGCATTAACACTAGCTTGAGACGACGACGACGACTAATGTTTCATCTGCTGCTAGCTGGTGGCTCTTTGCTCGTACATAAATATGTGTGTATTTTATATGATGATCATTATCACTGAGGCAAGCAAGCGTCGTCAGTAAAAAAACAAATAATATGTATGTGCGTACACCTAGATTTGTTCGGAACATGTTACAATGTACAATTAAATCGTAGTCATACTTTTCTGCATTTTTTCTAATTTGTTCAATGCCCCGTCATACAAACAGCAGTACAAACACTGATAGACACACCAATTGTTCTTATCTATATCTGTTTAGATATTTTTTGTTCGGGTCTGAAAATACGCATTCACGTGGAAACCCTTTACGCACATAGCCATGCATCAATATGAATATAATAATGACCCGACCCCAAAGCCTCTGTCACTTATGGAATGACCCAACACTTTATTTACCGAAACCGCACAAAACGTATTATTACTCGACGGGCTGCATGTGTATCAAACCAACGAACCAAACTAAATAAAGCGAGTCCATAATTTAACCGAGATTAAATAAAGTTTAAACGCTCAACCCAAATAGCAACAAAGATTCCCAACCTAGCCCAACTAACCCCCACCATGAGAACAAAAGAGGCAAGGAGAGGGAGGAGGTGGGTCTGCTGGTGAGAGATAATCACAAGGTAATAGAGCAAGGCAGGTAATTCATCCAGACACCAAAAGTGATCATTTTCTCACCTTAAGTTCAACCAACATCTGCTGGCCGGCCAAGTCAATCCGTAGGTCGAGTTGTAAATCGGATGGGATAGAGATAAAATTGTTGTATGCAAGTTGTACAAAATGCAACCACCAACTTGAAAGAAAGGGGAAGCGATTCACTGCCATGAGCAAGTAAATGACAGAAGTCGAGGTGAAGATGAGATGGATAAATAAATTTCATAAAAGCTGGAATGAACTGGACCCTTTTCATCAAATTAGTGTTTGACACCGTATAAAAATAGTACAAAATCAAAAATCAAAATCAAAACCTTTCCTGATAAGAACTTTATTGCACAAATGGAAATTGGTGTAGGTTTTAGATAGAGTTTTGTGTTCATATTCATACAAATCTGTATGTAGCAGCCATTATTACCTTCTCATAATACATGAAATAATTGCATCACTCACTGCGTTTGTAACTAGCAGCAGCATCACTCACCAGATGCTTGACGCTTGATTTGATATGATGATGACCAATTTCAACTGGTTGATGTGCTCTGAAAATCACTAAAACTATAAAGATTCCAATAAAGAATCTACCCAGGGGTTCACGATTCCACACGAAAATATTTGGTTATTCTATTTCTCTGCTTGATTTATTTAGTTTTCTGTATGCACTACTGCGATGCCTCGAATGGACTCCTTGCATATGCACCGGATGATTTTGGAGTCCAATCAACAATGAACCCCGTATTGTTTGCGTTGTTATTAAACTTCAAATCAAGTCATTCGAATAACTGCATAAGAATAATAACAAAGTGGAATTAAAATCCAATTGTCCAGAAGTAATAACATCTCGGACGGCATTATTCTTAAGAATTGGTCAGTATTTTTTAACACGGTGTTAATTTACAGCGGCATTAATTCCATTGCATTTATTTTCCTGGTGTGCTCCAATTCTGTTGCATTGTTGTATTTAGTATTTATCTGTATGTGTTGAACCCACTGGTGACGAGTACTACCTGCCCACCTGTCTTCACAGAGTTAATTTGTTGATGAGAAGTAAAGCAAACTTCTTTCGTCCCAGTTGAATTAAACAATAATAATTATCGCCCCATTGAATAGCAATGTTTTATGGATGAGGCTTGGCATGTTTGTTATACTTTTGGACTACCACTTCCACAGTTGAATGTGTGCACAGATACGGACGGAGTACGGATACTCGAGCTATTTTAAATTTACTGAAATGAAATCAAACAGAGCAACGAAGAATGGATTTAAGCAAAGAAGGACCCCGTGGATAGTCAGACTTGATTTGGAGCATGGTTATTCTTTTTTTTAGCTGAATGCAAGTCAATTGTTGTTGAATGGATGGAGAAATACGGGAATATTGTTATTACTGTTTTTTTCTTGAGAGACAATGCAGCAAAAACATGTTGAATTAAAATATAACAATTCCTCCTTCGGGTGGCCACGACTCGAAGCCGTCGATTTGAATGAGAGATGGAAAGAAAGTGCTTTCAATACCTGTGCTAATTGGAAACGGGATCAAATTCTGTGTTGAACAGCTAAACCTC